GTGATGTCCTGACATGGTCTTGAAGTTTGCGCTTTTCAGTTCTTTCTGCTCCACTTTCTAGATACTTTCGTTGTCTCGTTGACTGAAATTGAATTTTGACATGCACTGTATTTTTGACATCCATTATGATGGATATATTTCCAGAAAACTAATCAAGCCATGATTCTTGACGAAGTTAACAAGTCACGTCAAATGATGCTGAAGAATAAGTTTGTGGTTTAATAGTTCCTGATTTTTCCTCCAGACTCACGTCTGTGTTGCGGACATGCTATAATTTAAGCCATAAGATTTTTAAAATATTCTTTTTAGCGCTTCAATGTCGAGCCGCGCTAATAGGGAACCGTTGGCGCAGCAGTGTACGGATCAACGTAGCCTCAATCTGTTTACTGCGGTTGAGACACAGAATTACCCAACGACATTCGTCCCTAATAACTCGAACTTCGGTAATCCTCTTATCGCGGTGTTTCCGCGTATCGCTACGGAGGAGATAGATCGCATGAATGCGTCAGCCACTGCCTCCACCAAGTGAGATGGCGATATGCGTTGTTTTCAGATGTACATTCCATATCCCTGAAATGCGATAGGCGTGGCGACACACCTCATCCGAACATCGAGCGTGGCGTGGGATAGGTCATTTACGGGATATTTTAATCTGAGATAACTGACATCATGCCTTGTGTTGCACAGAGGCCTGATCACAACTGTCATAAAAAGAAAATATCGCACCAAAAAGCAGTTGCCACCAATGTTCGAAGGGTGTACGTAGCCGCGCCTACCGCATCTCCTAGATTTGAAGTATATTCAGGCACATTTCGGCTTGGTGGATGCACCAAATGGTATTCAGCGAAGGTTGTACAGGCTAGTTTGTAAAGCCCTGTTAGGCCGCGTTCATAGCTTCACCGTGAAGAAATGCGGAAACGCAGAAGTGCGGAATCTGCAGAAATGACGAAAAGCATTAAATACATATCGATTTGAAGAAATGCAGAAATGCGGAATCTGAAGAAATGCAGAAATGCCGAATTGCGGAAAATCGATACCTATCTAATCCTTTCGTCATTTCTGCAGATTCCGTTCTTCTGCGCTTTCTGCAGTTCCGGCACTTCTGCATTTCTTCAAATCGATATGTATCTAATGCTTTTCGTCATTTCTGCAGATTCCGCATTTCTGCATTTCTTCACGGTCGCAAGCTGTAAACGCGGCCTTACCAAAGTGGCAACGATGCAATCAGGGTACAGCATCGTGATGTGTGAAGTGGTGGTGTCAGTACAGCCCCCTCTAACCCAAAGAGGGTCCCGGTAGCGACCCACCCCTCCCCAACACCTACCTGCTCCAGTTTTTTCACTCAAAGTTTTTTCCTTCGAGCGCAAGGGAAGGGTTATGTATTGCCATGTTTAAGCGGAGCAGTCGTGCTCTACAACCAAGAATTTGTTGTTTCCCAACGCGGCAAATTCCTCTCAAAGCCACATACAACCCCCCCCTCCCCAGCGGAGAAGTACAACACCGCCATGTGTATCACACAACGATGCAGTGCCCTGTATGCATTTCATAGTTCAAGTGATTTCATGTTTCTCTGTGTGCCATGTGCATCAGGACTCTAAAAAAAGAACAAGGGAAAGTACTAAAATCCCTCACAAGCCGAACAAGCGCCTGGATCATATTGCATTCCTTAAGCGTTTCCAATGCTTTATTATATGATGTCGTCAAGTTGCTTCTTTGCCGATTACCTTCTGGCCGTTTGCGGGCGTCAGGTTTCTTGTGAGGTTTCTTCGCGTTGCAAATGTGTACAAAGCTTGTAGTATTTATCATTGATTATTTTGCTGAAGTTGGGATAAAATAAAGTTTCTTGACAGGATATTGTTTGGTGCATAGTTTGCTTTTTTACTAGGGCTAGTACTTCAGAAATCCTAGGCAGAAGAGATTAATGAGTTCCATGTCGGTAAGCTTTGTATTAGTATCTAAACTTTTGTCAGAATATGGGAATGAATCAAGACTTCCTTGTAAATCTTTGCATGTTGTACGGGGAGTGAAGAACTGCTGATGTGCGTTGGGAAATAGGAGGTGAGGTCCGTTTGTGATTGAAAGAGTCGATTAGGACATCTTTCTCCAATATCCAGATAATGGGAGTGGTATGGGCGTGTATTTTCGTTTGAGGTTAGCGGTCGCTGGCTTTCTGGTTGAATACTACCTTTTTGGACAACTCGCTAATCAGGTCTCGCCAGGGTACAAAAGAAACAACATTGGTCTCAAGCGGTAGTGCCGCATTAGTATCTCGTCTAAAAAGCCTTCCTACCGGGCGTTCAAATGAATCACGTAATTTTACGCCTTCCCCCTCCGATAGTTACGGAACTAGGCTCTTGGTTAGTGTAGGCACGCGGTGACTACATGTGGCCCGAGTCGCCCGAAGTATAAACAACCTTTTTTGTTTCCATTTTTTTTTAACTTTTGAAACGCTGCCTCATTGCCTTGTGGCGATTGCGTAGGTCTCGGTGCGAACGACATAAGCTTGTATTGCCTGGTTTGACACCCTCTCTGCATGACAGACGTGCTAAAGTGCACCCTTATGCTTTGAACATCTATTTGAAAAACGGGTTGAGTTCGGTCCAGGAGATCCATGCTGAGGCGGGTGGTGCAGTAGGGTGGAGGCTTGGTGATGAGCTGTGCCCACGAAAGCGAGGAATCGCCGTTACGTCGAATAGAGTCGTAGTGGTCAGTGGTCAAGGTTGGACGACTTGACACCAAGACTGCACCATTACAAAACTTTACCTGCTCATAAGTTTGCTGTGAAATGCAGTTTGAGCAGTTTTCGCTATCTAATTTGTTATTACGTTATAAAGACGCTATCGATCTACCCAATGGGTCCCTTCAAAGTTCCATGGTAAGTTGCGCAGACTTCCCTGACAAGGGTTTCCTAAATCAATGAACGCTGACTTCTACTAGTTAGGCTCTGGAGCGAATGCCGCTCGCGCGGCTGCACATGGGTGTGCATTCAGGAAAGGTGGTATTGGCCTAAACCGTGCAAGTACAAAGTTACTGACGTAGTAACTGGACTAATGATAGTTGAAAGACCTTTTATGAGCTCAAAATACCTTGGTATACCTCAGATCGTATTGCATATCAAAGGGGGGGAGGCTTTATTGGAACCAGATCCAGTGTGGATTGCCATCGATCAGTATTTTTGGAGAAGGCTGCTTTTGTTGCGCTCCAGTCAAGGCCTCCCCTTCTCTTTTGCAAAGATGATGGGTGTTAGTCGGTATGTAGTGCATTTCATGATAAATTACTGAATTTTTCCTCTCCTTACCATTCTTTGAGGCAAAGATGGTGTAGCGGCAAGTGGCACGCTTACCACGCGAGCGGTTCAAGACTCAGATCCCAAATCGGCTCCCGCATAGGCCAACCAAGCCTTCCACACTCCGGAGACGGTAAATTGGTGCCAGACTCGTCTAATTGTAAGAGCGCGCCGCACCAAATTCACTGTGAGCCACTACGACTCTGAATGGAAGGAGAATGCGTGTCGCATCCCAAAATGGACTGATAAATTGCCGATCAGATTCAATGTAAAGGTTTATTTGCATTGAAAATCAAATGGAAACACACAATTTGAAAAAGAAAATGGTTCTGGTAGTGCTAGAATGAACACTTGAAGCTAGTTACTACCTTAACAACCTGTATGGATGAGAAATCACAATAAAGCAAGGCAAGATGTTGAAACCGCTCTAAATTTCAGCCGAGAGAAGACAAAGAGAATACGAAAAAGTTCTATAGGCTTATATTGATCGAATGAAAACATATAATGCAATAAGCTACTGTATAGACATTACATAAAGGCACTCAGACGCAGTGGTAGCGCATGTGGGCGGAGTCGCTTAGGGGACGCACCAGTGAGGAAGTGAGAGCGTCGCGGCGAACTGCCGCCAATCTTAGAACGACCACTGCTTTCCAGCATAATGTACAGAGAACAAACTGACTTCTGAGGGGAAGTACCCGCTCTGAGAATTTCTGGTGAACGAGTATTGAGTGATTAAGCCTATGAACAGCAGTATTTCGAAGGCTAGTAACAGAAGGCAATGTGTAAGAGCACGAATAAAAAGTGAACTCATCCATCTGAGCGAACAAACACGGCAACTGGTTACTATTACAAATTAGGGACAGTTCCTGATGGAAATCTGTACAGAATAAAGGCATAATGCCCTCCAGGGATTTTCGAGACCGGGAGTGGGTAGATTTATCCAGAATTCTAACAGGGAAACGGTCATCCGGGAGGCATAGATTTACAGGCATCCTGCAGATCGGCACCCACCGCGCATTAAATGCATATCGATTGCCGGGCAAATTTCCCTAGTGGACCTCTTGGTATTGAACCCGGGCCACGTACTGCCGTCGGGGAAGATTTTTGCAAAATACGAGTTCTTTGGGATTTCCATTTCTGATACGACCCCCTCCCCCTTCCCCATGCGCCCACCTACCATCTAACTGAATTTTTCCCACATCCCACCGCTTTCCTCTAAAGTTTTCTCCGAAAACTTTTCCATCCACTGGAAACTGCTGTCGGGCAGAGGGGGGGGAGGCGTATAGCAGTTGAAGCAGGTAAAACGTGGGACTTTATCAACCGGGCACGTTTCCTGAAGGGAAAGACGATTGCCTTTCTTCATCTGGCCAAGCAAATACGGCCCTCTCGCTGGGGATGCCCAACATACGGCGTGCCCTGAATGAACAATCCATCTCTTGAGGCATATAGGGTGTCGCCTCGACTTTTGCATAACTTCCCCGTGACTGATGAAGGTCTCGATATCAACGCAATGGATACGGCCCAGGCTGGCCAGGGCTAGGCAATACTGGCGGGATAATTGTACAACCCAGAAGTTATTGAAGAGTACAAGAACGAATAGTTCGGATCTCAAACAACCTATATCATAAAACGCTAGCGTTTTCTAGCGATAGAACATGTAGTTCTTTCATGTAGGGTTACGGTATCGATCGATTCGATCGGATTCAGGTGGAGTTCAAGCGACATTGTGTCGTTTCATATGGAGACTGAGATGATCTGAGCGAGAAAATGCACGATCGCATAGACTGCACTGGAAGGGACGATCGCCTGTGTGCTTTCGCTTATGCCTAGAACATTGGCTTTTGATTCCGACTATTGATTGAATCACTGGTCGATACATTGATCGTATTGATCACCATGGACATACCTTGTTAGTTCATCACTGCGTGCGAACTTTCCATTCACATCCTTCCCATGAGCAGCAATAAGGTTTCTCACCACTATGGGTGCGAACATGTGCCTTTAGATGGGAGCTCTTGGAGTACCTGGAGAAAACATTAGGGTATGAAGGATTGGTCATGAGATCCGTGTTGCGGCACCGCGCGCAGAATATCAGCGTCTTTGGAGTCATGTTTTTTCACCCAGTTCCCATTGCCAGCGCTAGCACTTTTATCTGCTACAGATTTCACTCACGTTTTCAAGCATCCAGCGTAGGGACAGGCATGTACAGCCAGGCGCTTACAGTCTCGTCCTCTTCGCGATCGACGTGGTCGGTCGTTCTCTTCGGATTCCGTTGAACTGTCGCCCTCGCCACTGAAACTAAAATATCAGTATCAGAGAAACTGCTATTCTTCCAGTTGGGCGTTTCTTTCGCATTTAGTGTATTGAGTTGCTTTATTTTTTTATTTTAATATCCATTATTTTATATCACTCGGATAATTTATTGTTTACTTTTTTCCTATTTATTGACTATTATTTATCAACTATATCTATCTTATTTAATTTACTACATTTGTTTAATTTTTTATTTATTAATTTATGTTATTTAAATTTCAGTTATTCAAATGTTCCGGTGCTTCATGTCTATTAAAGGATAAAATTATATAGTATCCGGGTTTATGTTGATTCTCTAGATATCCTATGTATAGATATTTTTATAACATCACTTCTTCAATTCGATCGTATATATTGTTTATCTTATTTCCAGGGTTTGCGAAATCCAGTTCTGGGAAGGGGATGCCAGAAGAATGTTGGACCAGCGCGGTATTAACTTGGTAGCTGACTCAGCTTTAGGCCTCTTTGCGCGGAACGGATTAGGTCCTGGCGTAAATTAGGGCCGGGTCGCCGCAGCATGAATCTCCTGATTCAGTGCTTTAATTGACATAGAAAATTGGCTTGAAGAATCTCTGTTTCCATTTTTCATTTTTTGATGAATATGCATTCATTTCTGAATGAATGCACATTTGTAGTTTAAGTAGTATATTAGTATAATCTTGAAGTAATTATAAGGGTTTCTGGACATAGAAGGATTATTCTGCCATATTATACTGTTCAACTAATTTTCGATCAGATAGCTGATGGTAATTCGAAACAATAAACTGTAGGCCTGGATGTTCAGCGGTATGCGACGTAAAAAAGAAATATAGTCAGTCCAACACCCTTCCACCATTCCCCCCCCCGTAGTACTTCTTTCTCAAGATCATATGCAGTGAATGCATCGTAGGTTCTTGTTTAGCAGCATGGAATCCGACCGCTTCGGCGATCATCAAGGAGTGATGGCGGAGGCTTTCATATGGAAATGCGTTCCCTAACCGTTAACAGCGGGGGACGAGCGGCAGTCGGCGAAGAACAACAATATGTGCGTGACACTATACAGAATGTAGTCCTGCCGTAACGTTGTGCCGTCAGCTGAGGGTTGAGTGCAGACATAACAAGTGTTTGGGTTGAAAAATAATCGAAATTAGCCCTGAACCTCTCTCAGGGCTCCAGTTATGACGAAGATTTCCCGTCCCCTGAAAACGACTAACTGGTGGCCCTTCTTGTTCGATATATCATGGCGACCAGAAACAGAACGAGTTGTAGGACGAAGCCTTCCATCATGAGGTCATGAAGTCCCAGTTTCGTTTCGCGAAGTGTGAACGCAGCTCAAAGAACAGGAGCACACCAGTGAAGAATGCAGGGGTAGGCCTGATACCAGCGCGCTGTAACTTGGAAGGCAAGGTACACCATCGTGAGGTGCGAAATGGCACTGTCAGTCGACACCCCCCCCCCCCTTCCCCATAAAATCCTCTTCCGGTACGACTTTCGTCCCATCCTTCCTACCATCTTCCTGAGTGTTTCCCACTTTTTACCACTTTTTCTTAACTTCTTGAAATGTTCCTCCAAAAAGACTGCCGCCGAGTGGAGGAAGGAGGAACGGTGGTTCGTCACCGATAAACTCCTGAAATCAGCCACTGAAATCAATGGTTTTATTGGTTGTACAGTGGTTTTGTGGCGTCATCAATGTAGGGGAGGGTTTCATCACAGCCAATTACGACCCCCGTCAACCAAATACGACCTAATACGACCTTCATCCCCAGCAGTAGGTATGTACGATCCCTCTGATGGGGTCTCTCAACGATGTTCTGCCCTGCTGGGAGGGGCAGTGACAATTCTTGGGACATTACAGTGCTCTGCAATTTTTTAGTGTAAACGGGCCGTATTTCCCCAGTCTACCTCAGCAACTGGTAATCCTCGCTTTTGGGCACTTCCACCCCATTCTCATTTGCTCGTTACATGGCTCGTTATCGTTCTTCAGTTTTTGCCACATATTCACTCATTGGCTGTGCTAATCGTTATGAACGTAGTCTTCCTTCGGCAGTGCTTTTTTTCGCCGCCTTCCATTCTCGCACTTGCACGAACAATTTTTTCCTATGAGAGCCACTGGGACTAATGGGAATTTCAACAAAAGGTCAGTGCCCCTTTTTGTGGTGGAGCTTCCAGCACCAGAAAAAACTGAATCTATGGAGTACTCCTTCAGCGTTTTCTTTAGGACTAATTCTTCAGTTTGACGGCAGGGCTGTTCTAAAATACCCTGACGGGAACCGAGTGGAGGGAGGAGGGACGGGAGTTCGTCACCGACCAACTCCTAAAATGAAGGGACCTGATCGAGCGTTTGACGCTGGTGAAACTCTTATATGCCCCAGACCCAAAATTGGATAGGGCAGGTGAATACTGCATTTGTATTGGGACTACACAGTTTTTCCCAGCGGCCATCCGATTAATAAATTTGGAGAGTATTGGTCCCTAATGGAATAGAAGTTCCTTTAGAGGCTGCCAACATGCAGGGATTCGCGCATTCGCAGCGGGGGCTCCAACCGAAAATGTAAATTTTCCTCTGAAGAAGGCGCTTGCCGTCAAAACGAGAAGTGGAATTCGTGAACACTTAAAATATGCAAATAAAGACCGATGATCTCGAAGGTCATGTGAAACTCGTAAATTGTTAAAATTTCGAGAAAAAAATGGTTCTAGGTCCAAAGCGCTTTTGGATAGTAGGGCCACATTGTGTTTTGAAGCACTGCTAATGAAAAGAGAGGTCACTCTTGACACTGGAGCGGGCTCCAATCCGGCATTTGACCTCCGGACCACGTGCGTGGACAGCGTGCCACTTTCTGCAACACCACTTCCGCCTCTTCTGCTATTTAAAGGTTGTTATTCATCTATGTTTATGTTTACTTTTTTGTAACTCTGTTACTTGTTTTTATCCCAAATTTGGGCGTTTTTCGCCTACAAAAATATTTGGTCCCATTACAACAAAGTGATGAATAAGTTCTTAAGGTGTGGTTGTCTGAAAATGGGATGTGACTCATACAAAACCCATGACAGGCCTAACCAGTGATCGGAAAAGTTGCGCGACTGATAAGGCCCTGAATTATTGATCACTTCCGTATGGAAGAATCGAACAAACAAGCAAAGTCAGCCCTTACGAATTACGATCAAACAACTTTTTGGAACAGAGTCGCAAGTGGTAGCTGGAGGCATCTTCTGGCACATTCTCGGTTGGTGGGACAACTTAGGCCTGTAACCTAATGTGCGCTCAACTTGTTAGGCCGTTATTGCAGCTTCACAAAAGCTTACAGTTTCAGTCAATAAGACTGCGTTAGGTTGACCGCAGATATGGAGAAATAGCGGTTAGTGGCAAAATGACCATCTCCAAGGCCCAGGCAGCGTCCATCTTTTCGTAGCAGTGCCGCAACCCAGTTCGCTTAGGTGTTGTGCATTTTGCTTATCTGCTCATATATCAATTGCCGATGCTCCCCTGAAGCTCTTGTAAAGCCATGCAATAGGAACGAGCTCGTTTATCACATGGCAAGACGCTCCTACACGACTTTCGGTGAGACCTGTGATTTATCAGCAACTACCAGCACACAAACCTAGCAGACGTTAGCAAATTCACCCTGTGTCCGAATAGCGCATTATCTTTATCTATTTTTAATTTTAATTACGAATAAAAGTGCCCTTGAGTACAATTCCACTGAAAATGAGCTCGTTTTAAGGTGATTCATAGCATAAACTAACGAAAGAGGGAATGGTATTTTCGGAAGATATGCCGCGCTTCGTTTAGAATCGCACGCCCCCCCCCCCTCGCCCTAACCCGGTCACTACACACGGTTTATAAAAGTTCCTGCGTGTGAAACGGGAGAATAGGGTTGGACTGGACATGCTATGACCATCTAGCAAAATAGTAGTTTTCCGTGCTACCAACTGGGTAAGGGACACATATAACGGTAATAGAACGGGAAAAATCTTAATCAAGAAAACTTCCCTCAGGGCCAAATGCAACCCCAATTCAAATGACCACATGGGACCGCTCTGATGAGTTTTGCACAGCGGTGCTTCACCTTCTCTCACCTTGCTCTAATTTCACCCGAGTTCTCCTGTGTCCTGCCTGGAATATTGGCAGACGGAGATCATGTGGCAGGTGACGATGCACCGGTCAGCCGTGTGGAGTGGAACACGGTCCAGGTGAGACGATGCTTCCACCACTTTCGCCCATAAAATGGGGCGAAGCTACTCTAAGGCGCGAACACTGGGATCTAAAATAATTGAAAATCAGCCACAGCTAACATTACGGTGGAGCAGCTTTTTGAAAGCTTTCCAACTTGTAGTGTGGCCCTTTTTTCAGAGTAGTGTCCCAGCTACCACGCACGTCATAATGTCGACCTGCATTCGGATGTCTCCTTGACCGTAATGGAAGTCAAAAGTACGGCGCATACCCTAAAAGTTCCCCTAACCCTTCCTTTACATACTGAGGATCCGACAATTGCTTTGGCTGAACTCAATAACAATTCTGACTCCAGCTGTATTTCTGGGTGCCATTTGAGAGGTTCCACTCACTCATAGCCACTTCTCCGTGATTTATCACCTCTCATTTTCGGGTGAACCGTTCGTATGTCACCCGTTTATTTATGTGCTAAATCTCGCCCATTAGCGTCACAACAGCGCTCTCATCGCGTCAAGTTCAGGTAGGACAGGAA